AAAGTCGACCATCTTGACTATTTTCATGTTTTTGTGGTTTAAAAATAAAATAAATATGTTTCAGAACTGTTTAACAGTATGTATTTACATTGAACCTTATGGGGGAAATTTGCCTCGTGGTGCGACCAAATTCGGAGGGCGGAATGGATTAACTGTATTTACATTGAACCTCGACCAACTCGAGTTGCAACCAGAGTCACGGAACGGATTAAGTTCGTAACTAGAGGTACCACTGTATCTGTAGATGAAATTATGCAAGTATAAGCAGTCTATCATTTGTATTATTAACCTTGATCAGAACATGTATATTTTCTTAAAACAGAATATATCTCCTGCAGAAGATGACAACAGATAAAAAACTATATCTCAATGGTAGAGGATGTGCTTTGTACCCAAAAGGTTTTTGGGTTCAGTTTCTGGAATCTCCAAGTAGGGATGACATCTTCCTTGCCTGAACCGTTGGAGAACAGTTGATTGTATTAAAGAAGGTGGACCCAGGATCTGGGTCAACATAAAGGAAGTTGTGATATTATTATGACTTAAATAAAGAGCAATATAAATATATCTTACTTGATACAATTTTTGAAGTATCATATTCTAACCCATAGATGGATTTTTAGGAAGCACCCAATCAAGTTTTTACATTTTGGTTAAATGATTTGAAGTTTAATTATACCACCAGGAAAGCGAATATATCAGTAAAACAACCCATTTACCTCTCTCTTTAAGGAGTATCTAGTATCAGTAAGAGCTCTATAGTACCTGAGCTTATGAACATCATTTCCAGAACAATCAAGGTGATTGTAGAGAAGTTGTATTATAATATATGATACAAGAGTTTTTGTTATAATGGGCCAACATCTCAGTTTGGATTTTGAACTACTTATAATACTTTTTTTTAAAATGCTCTGATAGGTCATTGAGCTCTTTCACAGACATCGTATTTTCCTTTATGATTATGAAAGGGCAAGCTGGCAGTGTCCCTCCTGTTACTCAGAATAGAAAAAAGATGTTGCATGATAGGCAAAATTAGAACTTATCTGAATCTCTTTCTGATCGATGCACTAATGTGTAAACTGTGACACTTTAAATATAACTTGGATTACACATGCATCCATACAGGATAAAAGCTTTTACAGCCAATGAACATTTCTCTTTCCTGTTGTGTGAAAAGCTATTTGATAAGCTTTTTAAAGGATTCATTGGAGAATATGCTATTCTCATGGCTGGAAAAGAACGGAACACATCAGGGGATACATAGAGAAATCTTCTGGCAGTTGATTGCAAACCATCAGAATTCCACCTTGTGAATATCTTCCATTCAAAAGCTCCCTCTGACATGCAATAGGCCTCTTGGTTGAGTTCTTAAGGAAGCATTTTGTTACAGAGAGAATGCAGATCAGCATTTCACATGATATGGATACCAACCCTTCTTTTAAAACATGGAACTGCACGAAAAACAGGGATGTAATTTAAAGCAAGCAATGGCATAAGGGGGTGAAGTAGAGCTACCAGATCTAGGCTGCCATCATATGGATGACCACTAGATGGCAGCAAAGACCCAAAGGTTTCTGTACCTCATAGCTGCCATCTAGTGGTTGCCTGGAGCTTTGCAGCTTAGATCTGGGGCAACTGCCCAGGCACACTGTATATCACACGAATGAACAATGCTGCATCTGAGATAGGGAGAAGTCTACTTTGGTTGGAGATGGAGATCCTTGCTATAATCTGCACTCCAGGACAGGAAAGCTACGTATTACCTATAAAAAAGATTTTAACAAACACACATCAACTCTGATTTAAATATGTGACCTTACTATGAGAAGTGGTTTTCAAACAACACTGTTCTAGAGGTGACTGATATCAGATTGTGTGTGTTGAGAACCACATCTCGCTTATGCTACAATTAGGCATTCTACATCATCTTTCCTAAGCTGCCTGCAGCGGATCAGCAACTACTAATGTTTTCACGCCAAGATAAAAATGCTAGTCTGAAATCAATCTCTCTTTTCCTTTGGGCTGTTTCATTCCTCCTGCATGTGGATTTCTAGCATTTGGGATTCATGAGCCGAGGCTAGATAAAACAGACAGACACATTAACTCTTTATGTCTTTTGCCTAGTTTATTTCTATATACACCGTAGGCAGGGCTGGTTAAAGATTCAGGGCCTAGCTTCTCAGTACTCTTGACTGCTCAGCTCCTCCTTTTGGGATGAATTCCCATTGCCGATCAAAGGGAAACAACAGTTCCTTCCTTTTACGCCTTTACTTTGCTGATTGCTTTCTGCTTTTTCCCTCTAAGTAGAAGGGTATACAGCTTAGCAGGTATCTGAAATGCTGGCTCTTGAGGTGTGTCTTTGGCAGCATGCCACCAGAGCACTGCAGGCCCATTGGAGACATGGCACATTTGTCCTGGCCTGGAGCAAAGGGCAGATATTTTGCTATGGGGTTATGCAGGAAGCATTTAAATAAATATGCAACTCCAGGCTTCCATTGGAATAGTCACATCCAGGGGGAGGAGAGAGAGAACCCAGTTTGTGAGGATTGCTCATTTCAACTCTCCATAACTAGCTTTCAATGGTGATGTGGTAAAGACTGATATCCATGCAATTCCACAGAGGGAAGAGACATCTTTCTGTTGAAGTAAATGGGGAAACCATGGCTCCTGTGGGGTTTCATCTATGCATCACTGGAAGTGTCATAGCGCAGGTCAGTAAATGGATTCAGTGAGTCATTGGCTATGCTAATCCAACAGCAAGTCTCCCCAGAGTGTCAGACAAGAATATTTTCTCTAGCCTGGTCTGCAGATACCAGCACCTAAACCTGTGCTCTTCTCAGTCTAAAGCACATGGTATATTACTGCTCTATAACCCTTCCTGAATCCAAAGGCCAGCAGACTTTCGGTATCTTCCTTCAAACTCAACCTTTGCCTTGATTTTGCCACCCTAGGCATACAAACATTGCACGGAATCCATAGTAGCAAAGGACAACGAATACCCTAAAAATATTGGATGAACAACCTGTAGCCTGCAAGTGGTACTCTGCTATAATTTTTGTGGCCCACAGAATGACTGGGAGAACTGCCTGCTTTTCCCTGTAGCGCAGCTGATCACCCTGGTAGGGAACAGATTGTTGCTTTCAACTGTTACTGGCAGTAGGAAAGTACAATTTTTTGAGTAGGGGCTTGGGAAGATAGAGAGAAGCCTCATTGCTCTGGTGATCTGTACTCTGATTGCTAGAATTCATGAATCATAACAATAAGCTTGTGTATGTTTGTCTGTATGTGTGTGTGTAAGTATGTAGGGAGGTAGAGACTTAATGATTGTGTGCACAAGTGCATGCAGTTAGTGTATAAGTGTATGATTGGATGTGAATGGGCAGCAAGAAAATCAACTGTTACTGGCAGTAGGAAAGCACAATTTTTTGAGTAGGGGCTTGGGAAGATAGAGAGAAGCCTCATTGCTCTGGTGATCTGTACTCTGATTGCCAGAATTCATGAATCATAACAATAAGCTTGTGTATGTTTGTCTGTATGTGTGTGTGTAAGTATGTAGGGAGGTAGAGACTTAATGATTGTGTGCACAAGTGCATGCAGTTAGTGTATAAGTGTATGATTGGATGTGAATGGGCAGCAAGAAAACCAAAAAAACAGATAGGTATATAGAAGGGGGGGGAAGGGAGGGAGTGGTGCTTCAAGGCTTCTGTTTAAGTTGCTTTTGCATAAAGTTACACTGGCCAGAATTGTTCTAAAACAAATCATAGTAGCTACCAGTAATGCCTTTTTTCCTCCAGTTATTTCTTCCTTACTTTGTTTTTTTTCAATTTATAAGCTGCCTCAATCATCAAAGCAAATCCTGGTTATGTACAAGTTATTAAAGCAATAAAACAAGTAAGCAACACAGTAATCAAGGCAACAACCTAATATATATTACTTATCAGGGAAGGAAACACCATAAATACTAAAGAATAATATCCCAATATAAATGCAGGGGTCACAAACAGCTGTGCCCCAGGGCTGCTGAGAAAGCCACAACAAAATCAGCTCATTTCAAATCGTATAAACTTGTGTGCATCTCTCACTGTTGCAGAAATTGGAGCATAATATTACAATATTGACATAAATGTACAAGATACAAAGCACCAGAAAAAACACACCACTAATTCCCAGACTATTCAGATACCAAGACAGCAGAAACAAATGCCATATGCTTTTTCCTTACCTTGTTCATCAAGGAGAATGTTGTCTGGTTTCACATCTCTGAAAAGCAAAAAAATATAAAACTTACTCTTGACAGAAAAAGGCAACTGCTCCTTATGTTTCTCTCTCTACATCAAGCAAATTACTCTAAGAAGCTATTAAACAGATTGAGTTTTTGTTATTGTTTCCAAGATTATAAAAATAATATTTAGCTCTGCTACACAAAAACAGGGGTGTGAAATGTCCATGACCTTCTCAAAGAAATTTCATTTGAATGTAATATATAAAAATATGCTCAGTAAACAAAGACATGTCATGGTCTGAATACAATTCTTGCCAGATGGAATCGTCTTATGATGAAGATCCTTCCATCTTGAAACTGCATGAAATAGCAGTTGCCATGGGTCTCTAAGTGAGAGTCAAACTGGGCTGCAGTGCCAGAGTAGGTGAGCTTAATTCTTCCATCAGCATCTCTTCGGGGATGCATGTGTGCACATAAGGACCTTGTGCTGTTGTGGTTAAAATATAACTAAAGTTCAGGAAGATGTGGTTCCAAACTTCATTCAGTATGAAATTCACTGGATGATTCTGAGCCAGTAACTCATAGGTTGTTGTAAGCATACAGGGGAGGAGTAGAACCATGTATACCACTCTGACTCCTTGAACAGCATTTATAGTACATTTCCAGGTAAAGATTGTGGCTTAAGACAACCTAAGAAGAAGGTGATTTTCACTGGAAAAAGATGGTAGGTAAAAAGGAAATTACTCTTCCAAAGTGCCGTAGATCTAATCTGAATTCACAGCCTCTATGAATAACTTAGGACCATTCATTTAACAACCATTCAAAGTCATGTGATCAAAATTCAAGCACTTAGCAACCAGCACGTATTTACAATGGTTGCAGCATCCTGGGATCACAGGATTGCCATTTGAAACCTTCCCAGCTGGCTTCCGACAAGCAAAATCAATTTGGAACCACGTGATTCACTTAACAACCATGTGATTCACTTAATAGCCACAGTGATTCCCTTAACAACCACTGCAAAAAGTCCTGTAAAATTGCTTAACGACCACACTGCTTAACAACTAATGTTCCAGTCCTTATTGTGATTGTGTGTTTTACAAGTTGTAAAATAACTACCGGTATTTGCTAAATAATAATAATGAGGAGGAAGAGGAGGAGGAGGAGGAGAAAGAAGATGATGACCCGGAAATGAGATCTCATTAGTTTAATGTTCCCCAACCTGGTGCCCTTTGGATATGTTAGGACTTCAGTTCCTAGAATTTCCAGAAGAATTGGCTGGGAATTCAGGAAGCTGTTCCCACCTATCTAAAAAGCACCAGATTGGCAAAAGCTGATTAAGCCTTTTCTGCACTGAAGCCATTTTTGACTCATGGTAACACAGTTTCTCCAGACTTTTGCCAGAAATAAAAAACAAAACAAAACAAAACAAAACTGAGAAACATTTTGTCTGTAACTAGATACAGCAGCCACTAGTCTCAGTTATAATCCTAAGGAAAGAAAGTAATAACAAAGAACTGCATCAAAGAGTAAGATGGCATGATCATAAAGTTACCTGTATATACAGAATTCTATGTAACTAAAACATGGGTAGATAAAGATTAGAGAGTTAGATTGTGGTTGTAATTATTCCCTACAGTGAGTAGTCATTCCATTTCATGGTAGGACTAGAGATTAAGTATTTACTGAAGAAAATTTACTCCAACTATAAGGTCAATTTCAGAGCTGAGATTCCATACAGCTGTTCCCAGTGAGCTAGAATAAGATGAGTTCATAAAGCTAGACCTGCTCCTCACAGGGGTCAACAAGAGATTGTAAAGTCACCTGTGTATAATACGCTGACTACGCAAATAGCCTAAAGCTGATGCCATTTCACAGATATAGAGTTTAACTGTTTCTTCTGTAAACTGCACATTTTGTTGAAGATGATAACGTAAGTCACCACCCAAGAGTAGATCCACCACCATGAACATGTCTTCTTCATCTTGGAAGGAGTACCTGTAGAACAATGAGTGAACAGGAAATTCCATTATATTTTCACAGGCAATATTACTATGCTGTAGGCTAGATCTCCATGCCACTTATCCCATGTGCTTGAATAATAACAACAATAACAATAACAATAATAATAATTATTATTATTATTATATATCTAAATATATATGTTTCAGCTTTTTTCATTTGTCCCAGTTCTTTTGAACCACTGATATTTATATACTTTGGGGGGTGGGGGTCATTTTGTTTTAATGCTTATTACCATTAGCTGTCCTCTGTTCCCTATCTAGCAGGGAGCAGCTGTCATAGTTAATTTTAACTTGTTCATATAATCCTGCTTCTATATCTGGCTGGATCACATGACTTCTATAATATGATCATTACACAGTAATTTTTTCCAGGCATAATCAATAATGTACTGGAATATCAAGCAGCCTGTCTCATTTCATTATCAAAGGAAACCCAGTGCTATCAGAGTGAATGACTCATTGGCAAGATTTTGTTAGCTTAAGCTGCCTGGAATCTTTTTAATACAGAAATTCTGGACATCATCAGCTGGACATTTTTGTTCTGTCTGCTAACGTTGAATGAAAAAATGGTTAAAAGGGTGATCAAATAGGACAGAGAATTCTCTTCTTGTAAGGATAGCTAGATGATACAATTTGCTTATGAGTTAGAAACATCAACTTCTCTTTATCACCTCCAATAAATGGAGTGCATATTTTACCTGGCACAAATCCTTGTAAAAGACACATAACCTAGTTATTCCTTTACATTTATTCATTTGTAATAGGGTTCAGAAATGCAGCCATGATCCTTCTAGCTGGTGCCCACAGAACCCCCCAAATTACATGTAGAAAGACTGAAAACTCCCCAAAACACCAAATCTTATCCGAATTCAATGTTGCCTCGTGAGCACTCATAAGAATTCAGATGAGAGTGCAAGATCTCAGGGATGAAAATGCTGAAAATGTACCAAAAATGTTTATAAGGTTTGGTGCATTTTTATTTTTTATTGTTAAATGCCATTATATCAGATCACTCAATAGTGCCTATTTCTTGAAAAAAAATGCCAATGCCTGAATTACCCATACAGAAAGCTACAGAAAGAATGGGTATTTACATTGCAAAGTGTTATACACACACACACACACAAACCAAGACAAGGCAATAAAAAGGATAAAGAGGCTTCAGCAATTTCCCTGAGAGAACATTGCTATTCAGGGCTTCTTCAGCTTAGAGTAAAGAGGGGACCCAAAGACATATATAATTGGTATACAGAACTATGCATGCTGTGGATAATGTGGTTACAGAGAAATTGTTCTTCCTCATAATACCAAAACCTTGGCAGGGGAAAAAAAGGAAGTCTTCACATATCAGAGTTAACTTGCAGAGTTTATTAACACACAAAGTGATAGTCTCCAATTTGAACCGCTTTGAAAGGAAGTCACACAACTGCATAAGAGAGAAAGCTATAGGTGTGTCTTATTTCCAAGGCTGGAGCTGTGCACATTTCAACAGCAAATTGCTGGAGAAAATGAAACAGAAGAAACTACTGGGCCCATGCTCCTGGCTGGACATTTAGAAACAGAATGTTAAATTAAGCCATTGATCCAGCATACTTTTTCTTACATTCTTAAAACCACAGAGTCTTATATATTTATTGTTATGCTAAACCTTCTCCTGTGCAATCAAAGCAGGAGACATCTCCCCATCGCACTCCTTTACTGTAACATTGTGCTTAGGGTAACCGGGGACATCCAGGTTCAAGTTTATCCCCAACCATGAAAGCTCACTAGGTGACTTTGGGCCAATCACCCCACAATTTTATTATGGGGGGAGAGGAATGGAGGAAAGAGTGCTATGTTTGCTGTCTTGAATATATTGCTATCTGTGCCAATTCTCATTCCATTGTCATTCTTAAGATTAACAGTTTTCATACCAACAACTAGTTCGTGTGAGGAACAGGGTTACAGAAATAAACTCCTGAAGTGATCTTACTGAATTTCCAACTGAGTTTCTTGTATAACAGGATGCATGTATTTTTTCATTAGAGATGTGACTTTTTATCCTAATGGGCTGAGAGGTCTACTCCCCAAATTATAGCCTCGCTGATGTTCACTTCAGGAGTTTATTTCTGTAACCCTGTTCCTCCCATGAGCTAGTTGTTGATATGAAAATCGTTAAGAATGACAGTGGAAAGAGAATTGCTACAGATAACAATATAATTCAATATAATTCATTCTTCTTTTAAAGAATAGTAACAACTTTAGATGAAAAAGTAAATAAGTCAAACCAAGACAAATTCTCCTAAAATTATGGTAGCCAATTTTCCTCTGCAATCCTTCCTTGAATTATAAAGACACAGATCCTCTCAGAATCTCATTGTCTGATCCCATCAAATGAAATAATCCAGATCAATGTGATCTCCACAGTTAATCAAGATAGTATGTTTGTCTTTTCCAATAACCAATGTTTAGTCTTTACTAAATTTCATCACATTCCTCATTTTTCCCATTTATCCTATTCCCATTTCTTTACTTTATACTTCTCTGATTGGTTTCTTTTTCTTCAACAGCCTTCTCCAAACTGGTACCTTCCAAATGTCTTAAATTTCAGCTCTGATAATTCCTGAACAAACATGGGCAGCTGGGCAACCAGCCAGTCAAACTAATCTGATAATTACCCAATTCTATAATTGTAGGCACATTTTAAAGACCTATGCTTTATTACAGGAACTGTTATTGTAAACTAGCTGCTGTATAACTGGACTCTCCATTTCTATAGATATTCTTCTGAATCTATAGTCTACTAAGACTCTGGGTTTCTATAATGCTAAGTTTTGTTTGCTATGGACTGTGGACTCTGCCATTTTCTTTTATGTATTATGGACTTTTGAACATCATACCCTATGCACTGCTGCACCCAAGACTTTCTTCTGATAAGACTAACGTGCTTTCAACTAGATGCATAGACTTAGAAAATCAGTGGAATTGAGACACTGTGTTAAAACATGAGAAAAAAAGAGATTCACCAGAGATTCACCAAGAAGACATGCTCAATTTCCTGCAGAATCTCTAGTTCTCTGAACACGTTCCGAACCTCATCTCTTTCAATGCACTGTTGTTTATTCATGTACTTCATGGCATACATCTTCTCTGTATCTCTCTTTTGTACAATGCACACCTAGATATAACAGAAGAAAAAAAGTTGAATTAGATTTGTACTTCCTTGTTTATCTATTGTAGTCATCCACAACAGTGAGATATTTTGATGAGCTCCCAGGAAATCATTTAGCAAGCCACGTTCTGCACA